CGCTATGACCAAGATCTCTCGCTCTTCTCATGAAAAAATTAGCCACATGATCGGGAAGGAGTAGGAAAATTTCGGCACCAATGACAAGAATAAATTCTTTTGTCGAGCTGCCGAAATTATGAGATGATTAACTTCTATGACTTATATGAAAACCCTAACCAGGATTCTGGGTTACATAGGTCCCCTTAGTCTCCCTGGCTGGGGGCCTCAAGATGGTCGTAACCGATGGCTAGAGACACTGAGTGTCGTAAACAGTGGGGTTCGTGCATCTCAATTTCTCTGCTTTATTAGTCCAGTGAACTTTTCAATTTTCTCATCCGTTCTACTTTCAACCTGTTCTTGTCCTATTGTTCACCCAAACGGGCAGCCAAAGGCGTCGCACGAAAATGCATGCTTGATGGTCGTTTAAACCGAACCGAAATTCTATGACATCCATTACCTGTAGACCTTCTTGTGCTACCATTGCGGTACACTCGATAGGTGCTGAGACACATGGAAAGCGGATTGTTCGGTCTATCTTGAATCCACAATCTTAACTCTGAATTCAGGACCCAACTGATTCTGGCATCTGCCACGAGCAGTTCACACCCATGCGTTTAGTTCATTCCCACCGTTCTCCGAAAGACCTGTTTGCAGTGTCTCTCGCTGATTGCATTGCTCTCTTGTATTACCCACTTTCTTCAGATCACAACCGTTTTGTTCAGTCAGATTTCCTTTTCTAAAACAAGATTGTTGTGCTTTAATTTGCTTGACACACCTCTGAAAGCCTCAGTATGGTCGGGGGATGTCTAGGATCGCGGTTGGTCACCTTCTCCTGATTCTCGCGAAATGCCCCAATACGACCAAGCGTCCCAGATAGCCTCTGCTGAAGAAGTGTTACTGGCTGCGGAGATGTTTTCCCACCACAGTGAGAAGACAAAAAGCTGACATTCGGGGCTATAACCGGGTTGGGGGACCACTGGCAGTTCATCTAGGGGAGCTGGACAAAAGCCCTGATTCCAAACTAGCCAAGAGGAGGCGCACGAACCACGCACACCTTCCCGATTATGGCGACGGTTACCAGCTCAATCGGGTATCGAGGTTTATTGGAGACCTTGACCCCATCCAAAGGGTGTATGATCCGATGAACTGGACACCGGCCCCGTATGGACTGCAGTTTTCATACACCAAACCGCTGCCTTGCTGATCAGTCTTTGGCTAGCCGAAGGCTCTGGTGGTGGATTCCTCAAGAAAATTCACCTGCCTTGGTCTGGCGGTATTCAGCCCACAAACCAATCATGGAACGTTTTTCTTTTTTATAAAGATTAATGTACCTTGATTTGTTCGGCATACAGTCTGGCGTCAGAGATGTGTGAAAATATATATATCTGCTTGACACAGTTTAGGTGCAGGTAGTATGACAGGATTACGAGGACAACGTTCAGTATAGCTTGATACGCTTTATGTCAAAGAACGAATTTCAAGGTAGAATATTGCTTAGTGTGATATACGGTATATAGGTAAAAGCAGAAATCAGCGTCCAAAAGCTGTACGGGGACGAAAATCTTAAATTCCACCTGCCGATATTATCCCTTACAAGAGCAGCGCGGTTTCATACATTACTCGGCTTGTCGTCCGTTTGAGCACAGACCCTATCAACCTTCAGGATCGAATTTTATATCCGACTATTTTTTCACTGATGCTTTGTCTCTCACAGCCCTTGGAACAGTATTTCGTTCTCTGGAATTCGCTCCACTGCACATTTCACCATTCCAAAGAACAACCTGGACCTTGATTTTGAACTTTAGCAAAAAGCCGAACGATTTAGCGTGTGAATCTCGCAAAGGTTAATTATTCCTCAAATAGTCGTAGAGAACCTGTAACATCAGTCCGACTTTCTTGAGGAACGTAACAGGTGGTACAACATTACGGACCTAGATTGTAGGGATGATGGACTGCGCAATATGAGGTTACACAACATTGACAATCGCCCAAAGGTGTGCCCGTTTTGCAACAGATCATCGACCCAATCCCGACCGGCTCAATTTAAAGTCTATCATACAGCACGAAGGTTTCATTTTCCAAATTCAACCTAAAATAAGCACAGTTTTCGTTGTCTTGTATAGACCTAAATAGAACTGTCCAGTTTGAACGCTCTCATAGAGAGGTCGATGCAGATTAAAGAGTAGAAGGGAGAACAATAGAGTAAATGATCATCAGGTCAGAAACATGATAAGCGGGGCGGGAGGTTATGGATAAAAAACACATGGAACAGTTGTCCTGACAGGGCTGGGCATTCACACAAACCGTCCTTCTTCCCAGGTCAACTGGGAGCGAAATTGGCGCACATTGTCAACACACACTAGGTTATCATTAAGCGGGGGGTACCCGTCACCTGTGAGCAATTTTGAATTCAAACGATTGAGCACCTTACGCGCCAACTTCGCATCGAAACCAATCGCATCCACGGTGCTGGGAACATCAACTTCGAGGGCACTACGTTGTTCGTCTGCGATCAGATCCGGGCTCACTTTGACGTGCTTGATGTATAGGCTACTCGGTTTGGATGGCAGAACGTAATTCGGGTCTGGTGTAGTAGAGGCATCAACCTACAAGTAATGGGACGGAGCATACAAAAACGATAGTGTGGGTTTCAAATACACATATGGAAGTACTTCAGATATAATCATGAGCATATCCCAAACTACAAAAACCCAGACGAATGGAAGCGTTTCGAAGATTCGACAAATCGAGCGTATCACCCAAATCGCGATTGCTACAGGAGGTGGTTAAAAGCTTCAAGTATTGCGCTAGTACAAATCCGGGATCCAGTAATTCAGATGCGTACTATAAGTGGACATCAGTTCTAACAAATCGGAATGCCCGGTATTCGGTCAGTGCAGGTCAAGTTACTGAATGACCGCGACCGGGCTGAACTGTATACTAGAGCTACTCCGGAAGGAGGTGAATCACCAGTAACACGGGATTATGTTTTCGATTTCCATAGTTTAAGAACAGGCTATTGCACATAGGAGAGTAATTCTTTTACGTGTTCAGCACATTGGAAGTGTAGAAAAAAGAGAATGTGGAATGTCACATTGATTCAATTGTCTTCTGACTATATGTATCGAATAGTGTCTCATTTTCCCTCATTCAGAGTTTTATGGATGGATACTCAAGGAGACCGGCACTTCACATCAGAGTCAAGAAATCATGGGATTGGTATTCCCAATTCAGTAAATGATACTCGCGCTGCATAGTACAATTAAAAGTGCTAGAATCCAGTCCTGATTGCGAGCGAGCGGGTATTTCGTGAAAAAGGGGAACACGTAGACGTTTAGACTAGTTACTTCGAATTGCGGATTACTCGAAACAGAAAACCACGAAAGTAAAAGGAAAGATTGAACAACATTGGGGGCGTGGTTTATTGACTACGCAGAGGATGTCAATGTTTGTTCACCAAGGATAGCTTTAGGTTGTGCGGAAACAAGAGACAGAGAGGTGAATGACACCATATCCGGAACGCGATTGTAGTACTTCAAAGTAGGACATATCGGACCCACGTATGAGGGTCACAGTTAGGAAGAGTCGGTAACGAAAAATAATCATTGGTTTTCGAAGTGGGGTAACAGTGATTACACGCGGGGTCGAAGAGAAATATTTGGAGGGAGACAAAACAAAGCTGAATAAATAAAATGGGAATCTCAATCTGAGAGCTGTAAAATTAAAACAAGCAAGCGTAAAGGCATACTAAATTCAAAAGAATGACAAGAAAAGAACTGCGCAGTATCAAAACTGTCGATTACCGCAGTAAACGACACGGTTTCTCCTGCACAAACGCATATTGCAGAGTAAATCAAACGATGACAAACCAGTCGCAGCATAACTAGGGATGTTAACCTCGTTCGGAAGTGTGTAATTTACACGTTTTTCCAAGATGTGATGAGGATGGGGAGTGGGACGGTGGATGTGCCTCAATGAGATCGAGTATGATCAACCTGACAGATGATGAGGAACGCCATCACTAACGCAACCTTGCGCATCACCAAATGGAATACAATCCCTGTTGCCGCAATTTTATGTTAAGGCCAACAGCCACCGAGCAGACTCATTGGAATCGGCTTGGAAAACCTTTGATCGAACCCAATATGAAATGTGCTTGATTACATTATTGGGGAACTGTATTTTCCTAAGGTAGCAAATTATGTGTCAATGTACCTACAATGGTATCAGTGTTAGAGTTGGAACGCAAAGTTAGGCGTTGCTTAACCGGGAGAGTAAGTGTGCACGTGGCACGGTTTCAATTAGCAGCTCCGTATGTTCGAGGTATTACTGCTTCTCCACTGACCAGATACGTTAGCATCGTTGAATGAAAAGCAATTTCTGTTGCACTCCCAAAGTTGCGTTACCCTCAGTTCGTTAAACTTTGGAACCTTTTCATAAGAGCATTACCCAATTAGTGAATTTCTTTTGTATTTATGTGTTTAGTACGAATCCCTCCGAACTCGATCGAATGGACACATTATCTAAGCATTCAAAATGTCTTTTGACAGCAAACGAATGCAATGCATTTTCGTCTAAAACTAGGGCGATTTGGATAAAGAGAAAAATCACGTGGATATACTTTTCTTCCTTTATAGGAAAACGAATTTGGCGATCCGGAAATTTGTTAATTTCGTTTCCCTCTGCTTAGCTATATGTACCTCGGAGATCCACAATCACTACCAATATTTACGGTTGGAGTGTATGTGTTCTGACCTTGACCGCGCGTGCTTCGAATTTTGGAGTGGAGCGTTCCACCGTAGAATTAGGTCGACAATAAGAGGAGGAAACACTCGAGAGTCCAATTTCCTGTTGGAAAATTAGCATAAGCGCAATTTGTACCGAGCCTTCAGCGCTGGAGATCGGAACTGAGCCACAACTGAGCGGAACCCGGGTGGCAGGACCAACGTGACGAATTCCCGTCCAGGTGAGCGACTAGGCTACAACATTTACTGCCGAGAGTATTACCCAGAGTTACTTATCCTTGGTTTTTATNTGTAGGGTTTTCATCTTTACACACCTCTTTTTTGCCGGACTTGGTCTTGAAGCGTATCTAGACAAGTGTCATGATAGCTCAGAGAAATCCTCATAAAGGGACTGCACGAGCCAAGCAGGTTATTGCACCCTATCCGTGTGCCAGAATAGGGTGTTCTCTCGAGGTGGTTGAGGGTATCCGTTGTGATCTGTGC